GGGGATAGAAGAGGCTTAAAATCTCTAAAAAGTCAGACTCACTAGAGGTGGGCAAGGCTGAAACACTTTTTTTTTTGGGAGACATTTAACAACCATAGAATCTTGAATGTTAACAAGTTTCAAAAAGGGAGTTTTCCTTTTCGTTTAATTTTAACATCATACATTCTCAAGGTTCAGATTCAAAAGTGACAAAAGTGTGTGTTTAGCGCAAAGTTTGCCAGTCACGCAGTTTCCCTCCACGAAGGCAAACACTGTTCAGAGTTTCTATTTAACAAGATCCTTTCCAAACTTTTTAAAAAACCTTTCAAATGCTCAAACGCTCGTTAGAGGCACTGACTTTACACTGGAGAAGAATTTGATGAGTTTCTGCCACTTTTTAGGGAAGCGGTGCTGTTGGCAGACCCTTGTCATTGAGGAAAGGTGTCCTTTGTGGGGTGGGAATGGAGCTGGGAGAGAAGGCTGGACAGTTGCTATGGTTACTTCAAGCCACCCCTCCCCCCATTCCCCACATGTCTTTGCTGGGGTCCAGCTCTGATCTGGGTGTTCTGGTCGGGCAGGCCCAAACGCCCCGAGCCGCCTTAGACGTGGGCAGCCAAAAATATTTTATCCCTGCAATAATGTCACAAAGGGAGACCCTACAGTCCCCTGCTCACTGGCTGCAGAGCTCACGTGGCTCACACGGTGACGATTTCTCAGGATCATCTCTTTCTAGAGCTGCACAAATGCTGTAAGGTCATAGGCCAGCTTGCTGGAGCCGACGGCTAAGTGAGATTGAAGAGGATGAGAACAGCAGCTTCGAATTTGCCGCCATCCGCTAGAGAACTGTCAGCTCACAGGTCTCTGAGATAACCAGCTCGCTGATGATGAGACCAAGCCCAAGAGAGGAACTGCTGGGGGGGTGTGTCCTCCTCCATGCAGATTTAATGCACCTGCTACTAGATTCAGACATTGTCATGCAGATCATCTCTCTTGCCCTTGGAATCACCTTAAGTAGGTATTAGAGCTCACATTTTACCGTTGAAATTCCGGCCCAGAGTAGTTAGGTTGCCTGCTTAGTCACACAGCTGGCACTTCACAGCTGCCTCTCAGCGATTCTGAGGTCTTCTTCAGTCTGGGGACAAGTGTCTCCTCAAAACAAGGTGGGCTGGGTTTAATATACGTACCCATGTGCGCAAACTGAGAGACCCGCACCCTCAACCTGGCACATGGTGGTGAGTGGCCTGTGGCTTCCTCTGTGGGTTTGGTGCTGGAACACGTTTCAGTGAGGGGCCATGCGACAGTGAGCGCCTCAAAGACCAGTCTCCTCCTCAGCCGGTCCTCTGAGGCCTCTCAAGGAGCAGCGAAGAGTGACTGTGGCACAGCTGGACGAAGAAGTGAGCCCCAGCATCTTCCTCTCTAAACCAGAGTCTTGTACTAGGTGGCAGCAGGCCTAAGGAGGGAACGGTAACATTTGTCATTTCTGGTTGCTTAATAGCCATTCTCATTTCCCAATGGCCCGATGGTTTCCTTAGGAACATCTCCCTGGAGACTGCTTCCTACTCTGGATGCTGAAGGGGTTGGATCCCTCCTCTCCCTCATCTGGCACAGCAGGGGCTGCCCCCCGCACCCGCCACCCCACCAGTCATCCAGACTCAGCCAATGAGACATTCTCCGTGGGACTTAAGGTCTGGAGGGAGCCAGCTGAGACGAGGCTCATTCGTTACAGTGTCAGCAGGCTCAGTGGAGACAGTTCTTGTGTCATAATGTAAGTTTAAAAAGTTACAAACGTGACTTTTATAAGAACTGGAACGAACGTGAGCCATAGGTTTTATTCAACTCATTAGTTAATGAGGGACTCCAAAGGTTTGGTCCTGAGCAGCTGGAAAGACAGAGCTGCCACCAATTGAGTGGGAACAAACCAGTTTCCTCCACCCTTCACCTCCACGTGGGGAGCAGATTTCGAGAGGAAATAGCGGATCGGTTTTGGATGTTTCGAATTTGAGATGCTCATTAGATGCCGAGAGGAGATGCTGAGGAGCGGTGGATACACAAGCTGGAATCCAGGGGAGAGGCCCAGCTTGGGAGCCGTCAGGCTAGAGGTGGTGTTTAAAGTCCCGAGACTGGAGGAGGTCGCCACGTGCGTGTGAAGACTGAACCACGGGGCCCGGGCCCATGTGATGTTTGGCGATTAGGAGACAAGGCAGAACTAGGAGGGGAGGCTGAGAAGAGAAGCCAGAGGGGAAGGACAAAAACCAGCAAGTCCGAGGCCATCATGGCCGAGAGAAGGAAATATTTAATGGGGAGAGAGAGTGAGACATGACGTTCAATGCTGCGTCAAGTAAGATAAAGACTGAACATTAAATGTAAGGATTCGGTAAAGCCGGCCGTGTGAGCACTGTAGGAGAGTTCTCGGCACACAGTAACACCAATACATGAAAAGTAGTATTTACATATATGTTACACACACACACACACACACACACACAACCCCTGTCCCTGCAATTGAAATTCACCTCTGCTGAACACTGACTGGCACACACACACACACACACACATACACACACACACACACTGTATTCGTGCTGTCCAGCAGGATTTTCTAGGACGATGAAAATGTTCGACATCTGTGCTGTCCCATACTGTACCCACTTAGCCACACATGGTTAACAGCACTTGAACTTGTGGCTGGTACAACTGAGAAACTACACTGTGGGAAGGGTTGAACAATAATAGTTTATTGAAACTCAACTAAAAAAAAAATAAGGTGCCAAAGTGTGCAATATAGTCTCACAAAGCGCCCTGAGGTGCACATTCAAGTTAAGTATGAACTTCATGTCCCCTTCCCTAGCCCTGTCACCCTGGGACCTTAGCATCTCTTCCATATACGACCACGCACTCTCGATTTGAAAAAGGAAGCCCAAAGATATTTTCATATATGAATTAGCACCCAGTTTAAATTTTAATATTATTCAATAATAATATTATCAAATTAAAATTAATTTAGTATTAAAATTTAAACAGCAACATGTGGCTAACGGCTACTGTATCAGACAGAGTAGTTTTATAGTCTATCCTTTGACCTAATATCAACGTTCTCTTTTCAGATTATCAGCCTATTTATGAGTTTTAACGAGTTAATGAATGAGTGGTCCAGAAGGGCCTTTGGTAAAGTTTTAAAAATTGGGTGCACGGGAGAGGAAAATCTGAGTGAGCAAGCAGGGGCTGGAACCGTGAAGAAAGAGGCCGATAGAGTTTAAGACACCTGAGGACTGCAGTGGATTGCGGTGCCCCGGCAAGTTACTGAAACTCTCAAAGCCTGCTTTGTCCTCTGAGAAGGGAGATTCTTACAGCCCTGACCTCCAGGCAGAGCTGGCTACACAATTTGTGGGGTTCAGAGCAAAATAAAAGCGCAAAGCCTTTCGTTCAACAATTATTAAGAATTTCACACTGGCAATGGTGGAGGATTGAATTTGGTCCGGGCCTTTCTGAGTATGGATGGGCCTGTGCCGCTGCACGGGTGGCACGCACAAAGCTGCCTCCAGGGTTCGGAGAAGGGGCGCTGGGCGGTCCGAGCGCTGAAGCTCGTCGTGAGTGAGGGGGCTGAGCAAAGACCAGTGCGCCTGCTGCTGCTGCGCTGTTGCTGGCTGGGGCGGAGGGCTGGGGTGGGGGACCTTTCCTGACGTCTGTTCTGGGTCTTCCCGCTGTCCGAGTCCGGTAGCCTACTTACGGCAAAACTCTCTCTAGGTCTGTTTGTTGTCTGGGTCTCAAATGATCACCGTCCTGCTCCTGGCAATTACCCGAGTGAACGAAAATTGCCAGGGTAGAGTCACTTATGTCAAGGGAACCCAAATGGAGCCGAGAGGCCATAAAGAAGCTTGCCTTA